TGGATGCTCTTGACGATTTGAAGCACGTCATGCGCCGGCTGCCTTATCTTGAGGACACAATTGCGCTCTATCGGAGCGAACCTTAGCCCTGGAGCAGGCGAATGCGTCGCTGCATGCGACGGTGGAGCGCTTGGTGCCAATAGAAATGGAGTTTGTTGCATTCCGTGCTCAGAACCAGTTGCTGGTTCGGCTTCTCGGTTGGCCGAGGGCTCGTGGTATTTGCTCCGGCGCCAAAGCTTCCGCGTTTGATTGCGCCAAATCCCAGTACGGCTTGAGCAAGCCCACGTAAAATACCGGGTGAATGCGCATCCGTTTCGGAAGGTTCAGCGTGTACGCCAGGCCCCGTTTGGCCGCAACCTTCAAAGGTCCGATATTCCGTGGACGAAGCTTCGTCTGGAGGATAGCAGAAGCTGCATGTGTAGGCAGATTTTTTGAACCAGGTCCTCGACCTTAAAGCTTTCCACTTTGCCTCTTCCTTTTTCATCTGCATATTCTTTCTGCAGGTTTTCGCTTTCAGCCATCGCATCTCAAACGTGTCGTAGGACACCCAGTCTGGTAGACAAGAAGTCACCGACTTCTTTGCGGATGGTGAGGTAATTGACATCAGCTGGCCGTTCGGCTATTCCTCCCCCATCAAGCCCAGAGCCATGGGATGGCGGCGTCAGTGGGACGCGAGGGTGAACTAGACCGTTCACGTAGAACGGCGTTTAGCCGGTAGATGAATGCACTGCATTGTTCAGTTCAAACTCTACGAGTGGCAGCATGGCGCTCCAGAGCCTAGGCGTCTTAGCGCCGACGCTGTGAAGATCGTCTTCGATGACGCGATTCACCCTTTAGGTTTGGCCATCGGTCTGCGGATGATCCGCTGTCGACATATCCAACATGGTGCCTAGCATCTTAAAGATAGTCGACCAAAATTTCCTCGTGAAACGGGGGACTCTATCAGAGACAATCAACTCTGGGAGTTCGTTTTGTCGGAAAACACGATCTACGAACAGCGTTGCTGTACCGACTCCGTCGATGGTGTCT